GTTCAGAACTTGTATTAGGAGACTGACCTGTAATGGGCAAGTGTCGCATCGTCTGCAAGGGGGTTATTACTGATAACGGGATATAATGGGTCAATGGTAGACGCTGTATAACTTGGATTGAATAAGAGTCGTGGGTTATAGGTGGCTTCTAGTTAAAGTACTGTGGCGTCTATGAGTCAATTAGGGTTTGAAAGGCCTGAGTTTAATTCTCAGGATAATTTTGATAGTCTGGGCGTATTAACTGTGTCAGACAGCTATTCTGAATTAGGTTGATAAAGACTCCTCTTTCCAGTAATTGGCCAGAATCCTTCGTGTTAACCGTATAAGAGATTAGCCATGCAGCGTCCAAGGTACATAGCCAGTTGCGAAGGCTAGTATTTTAGCGGTTCAGACTAGTTTTAAATGTAGCCAGAAGGGGCTTGTTTCTAGATACAATGACATATCGGATATATGAGTCGTAGAGTCAGGATATTTGGGCGACTGATCACTAGAACCTAAGTTTAAAAAAAAAAAAAAAAAAAAAAATATTATAGAAAGGGATTGGCATCCCTGGCTTATGCTGCAAGGCATGAGTCCCTATTGTAGGTTACACTGCAATAGATCCTAATTCAGTACCTGCCAAGTACAAATTGCAGTATTAATTTACTGCAGGTTTTACCAGTTCGATTCTGGGAATAAATTTCATAAGATGCGCACAAACTATGTGCGTTAAAGATCATGAACTTGTAGAATATGGTAAACCCGTATGATTACACAAGTGATCATATTACACAAAATTGATTGAGTTCAGAACTTGTATTAGGGAGCTGACCTGTAATAGGCAAGTGCCGCATTGTCTGCAAGGGGGTTATTACCGATAATAGAACATGACGGGTCAATGGTAAACACTGTATAACTTGGATTAAACAAGAGTCGTGGGTTATAGGTGGCTTCTAGTTGAAGTACCGTGGCGTCTATGAGTCAATTAGGGTTTGAGAGGTCTGAGTTCAATTCTCAGGATGATTTTGATAGTCTGGGCATATTAACTGTATCGGACAGCTATTCTGAATTAGGTTGATAAAGACTCCTCTTTTCAGTAATTGGCTAGAATCTTTCGTGTTAACCGTATCAAGGGTTAGCCATGCGGCGTTCAGGATACATAGCCAGTTGCGAAAGCTAGTATTTTGGCAGTTCAGATCAGCTTTAAATGTAGCCAGAAGGAGCTTGTTTCTGAATACAATGACATATTGGACATATAAGCCGCAGAGTCGAGATATTCAGGCGACCAATCACTAGAACCTAAATTAAAAAAAAAAATATTATAGATTATGTAAATGATCAGATTCATGTAATTTCAAAAATCGTTACCAATGGTAATGATCAGAGTCATATGACTTTAGCAGAAATGATTTCATCAGTTACACCTTAAATAAGTAAGACTAGTCTAACCTATAACCGCACATATTTTTGCAACAAAATATTAGATCAATATCCTAATCCATATAGAGAATTTAGTAGTGAAAATTTCGATTATTATGGGATTACTGATGAGACATCATGTCCATTATGCAGTTTAGATCATGATGACGAGAAAAGTATAGAAGGTATATATAAATCTAGATCTTACTTTATTAAATGTGAACAGCGTGAAATTGAGATAACTGCATAATCTCATTACCTCTTTCTTATATCATAGACACTTCGAAAGATGATCTAATTATTATTTTAGAAATATGATAAGAAATAGTAGACAGTTTTCTATCTAGGAATTTAAATTGATCTGTAATCATATAAAAAGGCAATATGAGCAAGTCTGATAAAGTATTAACCCTTGAGTATCTAAATTGGCTTGCCAAATTAACTGGTTTACCATGCATTTTGACAGATAAGATTTGGTCTAGCTTATACAAAAAATATAAAAAAGAAACTGGGTATGATCTATGACAATTATCAGAAACACATACATTAGAAGCCAGTCTTCTCGTAAATTCGAAACCAGAAAACAAAGCATCCTATTTATCTTTTTCTGAGCAATATGAAGAAAATGGGCCTATCCCTTTTGAAGCCAAACTTGATCCAAAATTAATTATCAAGTCTGTCTTAAAACATTTCACATACCTGAAATTCTGAAATAGTTTCAGAAGGATTGATAATTATAATTTTACATCACTTCAACTGTGGAGCTCATCATGTCCTATTTGCGATGGAAAACATGAGAATTATAGATTACATGGTGAATGGTATAGAACAGAATATTATCTTAGCTGTAACTCTTCAAGCAATAAATTCAAGTTCGCAATCATAGCTACATGATGGCATTATTGTACTAGATATTATTCTGCAGTGTAAACAAAAATATGTTTTTTTTTATTTACAATCAATAAAGCTAAGGCATATTAAACACAATATTTTTATATATCATATCTAGTATGTGTTGAGAAGAGTGTGGGATGTGTTTATATACTAATATTTCTTAATCAGTTTTTCATCTGTAAATCGATACTTGATAAAAGCGTAGTATCATTTAAAAAAAGTTACCATATATTACGAGAACAAGTCATTATCATTATATCATTTATTCTTGAAACTTCTTGCATATACTCAAGTTTTTATATGTATTAATAATAAAAAAGATCTCCTTGTTAATCCAGAGACACAATCCCAATGTCTATTATAATTTTAAGGAGTATCCGTTGATCTAATTTCGTGATGAATTATAATAACATAATTTCCCAAAGATTTATTCCAAAAATCGATCCTTAAATGCACTACAAATCTTATAAAAAGGTGAAACTTTATTTAGTGAATCCTTTTATTCGCCTTGTGCAAGTAAAGTAAAAAAAGGATCAAAACAAATATTCAAACTTATCACTATTAACTTCAACAATATCAACAATCATTTAAACTGCAAAGTAATAGCAAAATTAGTTTGTTTGATTTCTTGGCTTTAGTGTTTCAGGCGAAACTATTTTTCAACATCCGAAATGTTTCGTCCAGAGAATTTTTATATGATCCGAAACTATCTGAAACCTCCGAAACCCTAAATTTGGAAAGATTTTTGCAGATCAAATTGGCGAAACTAGTTTTACCTGAAACACTACTTGGCTTGATTCTAAAAAATTGCCATCACGATGCTAATCATTTTTCCTGGCTCTATAGATGTTCAAAAATAAAGCAGACATATTACCTTTCTTGATTCTTTCTGCTCATTTGATATTCGCTGAGAAAATCGTGATTATTGTCATGTGTCTAATCAGCGCAGTATTAATTTTTATCACCAGATTTTCGTCATATGCTGAGATACAGTGCGTAATACTGTATATTGAATAAAATTTTTTGGCAATAGTATCTGAATTCTTGATACTTGGCGTAATATTGTTCTAGCGATAAAAAAATTGAAACATCTTTATTATAACGCATTAACTAACAAATTTCTTAAATGTGAGGAGGAATGGAATGTTGTGAAAATGAAGTATAGCAGTAAGTAGTGTTCTGCACAGATTCGGATCGATCTGAATTCAATCTGAATCTGACAGATCGGATTCAGATCAGATCTGTCAGATTCAGATCTAATTCAGATTCGGATTCAGATCGAATCAGATCTGTCAGATTCAAATATAGATTCAGATCTGATCTGTCAGATTCAGATTCAGATTCGGATCTGATCCGTCGGATCTGAATTCAACTTTTTTAAAGCTGAAAAGTTTCTTTTCAATGAAAAGAGACAAATTTTCGGACTTCTTTAGAGCTGAATATTTGTTTCCTTTCATTGAAAAGAAACGAATTTTTGGATCTCTTTTAGAACCGAAAAGTTCCTTTCATTGAAAAGGAACCAATTTTCGGATCTCTTTTAGTTCCTTTCATTGAAAAGGAACCAATTTCGGATCTCTTTTAGAGCCGAAAAGTTCCTTTCATTGAAAAGAAACGAATTTTCGGACACTTTTAGATCTGAAAATTTGTTCCTTTCATTGAAAAGGAACGAATTTTCGGACCTTTTTTAGAGCCGAAAAGTTCCTTTCATTGAAAGGCATTTATTTTCGGACCTCTTTTAGAGCCGAAAAGTTCCTTTCATTGAAAGGGAACGAATTTTCGGACCTCTTTTAGAGCCGAAAAGGTTCCTTTCAATGAAAAGGAACGAATTTTCGGAACTCTTTTAGAGCCGAAAAGGTTCCTTTCATTGAAAATAAACATTTTCGGATCTCATTTAGAACCGAAAATTCGTTTTTTCAATAAAGCTTTCGGATTCGGATCGGATCGGATTTGGATTTAAACCGATCCGATTTTGCGGAACACTAGCAGTAAGTGTGAATCGGAAGCCTCAACTTGTTTTATTTCTTTTACCGCGTTGCTAATCTCAGAATTCTTCATACAGATTTGAAATTATTTCATCTCGGGGAAGTTCTCTTGCTGGAAATGATCTATTACATAATCTGTGGGTGGGATAGACGAAAATTCTGTAGATATAAGTGGTATAATTTATTTCAGAATTCTAATGTAGTTAGAAAAATAGATAGCGTAAATAATTTTGTTAATTATAGATACAATATTCTCCGAAAATGTGAGAGCAAATAAATAACTTGGTGCTGGGACTCGCATTAAATGGCCTAGGATCCACATGTTCCCTCCCTCATTAATAGCATCATACATTTCATTTGCTTCTCTAGCATTTTGCTATTTAAAAAATCAATAAAGTTTCGCAAAGATCGGATTTATCACTGATTTATCATATTTAACATGTATGATGTAATAATGCAACAAAATTATTATTGATGACGACTTGTCATCGAATTCTATAATCAAGTTTTATTATGAATCAGATATATCAGCCAAGATATAATGATTTAATCAGCTGGATAAAATGCAAAACGCGTACTTATAATAATCAAAAGTTTAATCAGATTTAACGCGCGTTCATATAGCTTGAAAAAGTTAATTTTAAATCATATATAAACTCTTCAGAAATCGGTTTTTTCTTTTTAAAGTACTTTTTTTAACATTTATTTTTTCTCATAAAATAAAAAATGACAAGTTCTATCATTACGGATATTATTCTTGACCTTCCCTTCGATGATATTGAAAAAGCAGGCCTACTCAGTTTTTTCACTGACAGAGATGCAAGTAAAGTAGAAACGGTTCTTTCAAAAATCACGAAAGACGAGATTAAAGCTGAATATTTAAGGGAATATGTCAAATCAAATGGTAAGCCTTTGCGTCGTAATGATTGGTTATGACACAGTAATTAACTTTGCCTTTCTTGGTCTCCTAACCCAATTTAGATGAACATCAAGGTAAGCCTTTGCGTCATAATGATTGGTCAACTCGTACGTGACGCGCTAACCTCTTTTGATAGTTTTACGGGCCATATTAAACATCCTGTTTTATCACTTTTTGTAGGTCCTAATAAAAGGAGACGCCGTTTGGAAAACCACTGGAAATTATACATCGCTGCCGATAGCGTGCCCATTGAACTGCCGTCCGTAATAATTAATATGCTTACGGACAGCCAATTCGAGCCAGATTCTCGTTCAGAATTTACCGAAATGTTGAATAATGTAATGGTCGGAAGCCGAATTATGGCCAAGAATCTTGGACAACAGCCAAAGCACTTCACAGAGGGGTACCAGGGCGAGCAGTTCTTAATCACTAAGCAGATGATGGACGTTTGGCAAGAACTTGATGTCGACAATAAATATAAGCATTCGATTAAAAAAATCTTATCAGGACCGGTTGGGGTAGGAAAATCATACCTCGCTTGGTTTCTCGCGGCCAAGGCGTATGCAAATAGCTGGATATTGCTCTATGTTGCTGATGCCTCTGAACTAAACACCAACAATGATAGAGGAGCAGTAAACCAGATCTGCAAGCGCTTTTTTGCGCTTAATAAAGATATTTTAACTTCCACCGACCTTGAGCTGTTATTAGAATTTGTCAATTATGATGATCTAGATACTGATATTATGGAAGAATGTTTTTCAAAGATCTTCACAGAATTACTTAAGCAAAAGCAAAATTCTAAGCAAAAACAAAATTCTCGCAAAGCTCTATTAATCGTTGATGAGCACGGGGCGCTGTTTGATAGTAATATTCCGGTACCTGATCGGTTAACGTCTTTGTCACCTTTGAAGAGTCTTACCTATTGGGGTGAATCAATGGATAGAACACGTGTCATTTTTACGGGCACTGCCCATGCGCGATTCGAAAAGGTTTACCTTAAAAACGGAATGCAGGGTTGGGTTATCTATGTTGCTCCGATGTTACCAGAAACTTTCGAACAGTTGCTAATTACAGTCTCCTCACGATTCCATTCAACTGTTCGTGATTATGTGTCTATTATTAAAGAAGAAGTGCTGAAAATAACCAACTGTGTACCGCGCGAACTCAATGTTTTAGCTAGAATGATTGGAACCGTTCCTCGTAGTCTAGATGAGGTCAGGGAAACAATGAAACGTTATGAAATTAACCGACGTTCAGAATTTTATGATATTGCGAGAACATATTATGACTCTCTTCCAACAATCTCCAAAAATGAAACTCGTCTGGCCCTCGCAGACATATTCCTACCTGGAAAAACTCGAAAAACTTCACGATTTGAGTGGGAATTTTTGGACTTTGGATTAATATATCGAATTAAAGATGTTAAAGATAAAAGTATAGAGTTTCGCAACCCAATTTGTCCATCAGCAAAAGAAGCGTTATTGGATTTGTACAAAAACTGTCCGCTACCTGAAGCTTATCTTAATTCTCTTGCTCGGGACAATTTAGATGGTGCACAGTTTGAAGACATTTTATTTCAACAACTTATGAAACTTCCCAAGTTGGTGCTTAAAACAACAGATATTGCTGGGAAAAATGGGCTTGACTTGCGTTTGGACATTAAAGGATTTGACTTGCTCCAAAAATCATCCAAAAGTTATGATAAGGATATTCTAGTACGTTGTTATGTTGGATATCCACGGTATGATTTTATACTTGGATATATGTTCTTTCAAGTGTCCATAAGCGACTTCGTTACACATAACACGAGATACGCAAATATTGATCTCTCTTTTGATCAACGGGATAATGGTGGTAGAAATCAGATAGAAAACTATCTGGATGGGGCATTTGGTGGTATTCATAAGGCTGAGATCAATAAAACGACGGAATACATCAAGAACAAACCAAAAACACGTAAAAAATTCGTGGTTTCAAGAGATGGTAAGGCCTGTAAAGACTTTAAAATTATCTATGTTTGTGGAAGTCCTGGTAAAGCTAATCATATACACAAGGTTGATGAATACCCAGATGTGCGTCACATCTCTTATGATGAGGTTAAATTGAAAATGTTTGGGCTTTTTTTATTTCCTAGCAAGTAATGCCTTAAAAAATTCGCTTAATAATACTAAACTGAAACTCTTTTCATATTACTCACTTATATGATAAAATAGAATACTATTTGTATTTTTTATACATCCGATGACAATTGTACATAGATGTAATGTTAATAGTAATTAATTAATTTTTTAGCAATTTGTAATGCTTGATAATTTGTACTAAATAGCGTAATACTTGTAGTTTTTAATTCTTACTACGTCTTAAGTAATGTTTCACAGTGCATTAGTGAATAAAGATTTCGTAGAACATACACACGTGAGATTTTTAGACAAATGTTATATTAATTGATTCGGGCTTTTGTAACTTTGCATGATTACAATGTACAATACCATGTATCTTATTAAAACCGTTACCATTGGTATCGATCAAAGTCTTGGCAAATTTTTTCTCTGGCTTTCAATTAAAACTTTTTCGCTATCAACTACTACGGGCTTGTCTTGGGATGATATTAAATATGTAATTGTTAAATACTATTACTGCGTCACATTACTGCGCCTGTGACTTGCACGCCCGGCAATATCTATTATAGTGTTCTGAAAACATATATTAATAAAGTTTAGCCTGTTCGACCATTTATTTTTTCCACATGTGTTATAATATTGATACTGACTACTGCATGATTAATGGACACGCATGTCCAGATTTTTTGATCGATATTTACCCAGTCACATTGCATAATTCGTGGACATGCATGTCCAAAATTTTTCTTATAAATGCGCTCATCGAATAAATTAAACTGCCCCTTTGCCATTCATCTCATTGCGGGAAGGTTGCGGGGAAGTGCTGGGAACTGACCGGAAGCTAGGGAGATCATATGTGATACAAATTTTATAATTTAAGTGATCGGGTCTAATTTAACCAAATCAATAAATATGAATCTGTTTTCACCCCGAAATTCTTTGAACAATCGAATAAAAATGATTTGAGTTTAGCAGTATGAAGTCTCACTAAATCGGCTACAATCAATAAAATCGCTTATAAATTTGAATCGTGATATTTATTAGAGTATAATATTGCTAAATCAGCTAAAATCGCTAAAAACAGTATAAATCAATAAAATCATTATATTCTGTTATAATCTACCAAACGATAATATGGATTTAGATAGTAGAGCCCAATATAAGCTAGTTTCTGTAGGCTATAGTGATGTAAACTTTGAAGAATATAGAAGAATATTAGGAGCATTATGTCCTCATGAAACACCAGAAATGTAGTGCTCCCATATCCGTGGTCCATTTAGAAAAATACTTGAAGAGAACCCAAGGATTCTTTCTAGGAATGGATATATTACAATGTATGGAAATTTATATGAACATGATAAAGTCCATGGTCTTCCATCAAATTACATATATT